TTTTCCAGTAACATTGCATCTATCCCTCCCACCGCTCTGCAGCTTACCAGCATAGCTTGCGTGTATATTTGCAAGTGCAATAGTGGCTCGGCAACATTTTCAATCCGAAACTGTGGGGATGGAAAGCAACCAAAAATGGCCTGATCCCACTTACCACCCTGAAACCCTCGGTTCCTGACAAACTAATGCAGCAAATATCATGCAAGTGCCGTACTAAATGTGGTAGCCGTTGTGGCTGCAGGCGCGCAGATCTGTCCTGCAGCCAAGTCTGCATTAATTGTGCCGAAAACTGTACCAACGTGGACGAAACAACCAACCTCGATGGGCAACAAGACGACCCCCCGTTTGCTCCACCACTGTCAAAGGAAGGTGAGACTTCAGAAGGTAATTTAAATTATGCGTTAATTTATAACATATCAACATCCACACACCCTGCCACTTCGAGTACTGAAGAGCCTGAGCCTGAGCTTGGACCATCATCGTCCATCACACACCCTACGCCCGCACCTTCCTGAGTCACAGCAAAACGAATGAGAGTAAAATGAAATGTGATAAATCAGTAAATATACGTATTTTTTTTTTTTGTAAATGGGTACTGATTACTTCCTGTTACATCTACATACATAATACCGAGCATAATATAGATAAATCCTCAGGCTTACGAAAAACGGAGGGGGAAGTAATTTAGGGTTGACAAGTGTAGTTTGTGAAGTATTGACAGGTACAGACTTTTTATTATTGGAACCCTTCATTTGGTCAAACAAGAGTTTAGAGGGAAAATTAAATTATCAGTTTATGCATATATATGGATCAAAATTTAAAATTTTGGTGCTCACTGAACTCAATATTTGGTTGAGTACAACTTTCATTCAATTTTACGTAGAGTGGTTGTTTTGTCGTCTAAAAGTAGGTTTATTGCAGTTTTCAAAAAATTCAAAAAATTACCATTTGATTGGACTACTAGTATACTTCAACATATTGTGCACTTCTTGATAAAAGGACCAAATTTGGAACAGAGGTAGACCGACGTTATATGGACAAGTTTGGATGTAGAGCCATCGGCCAATCGCCCCGGGCGGCCAGGGCTTCCTTTTTCGAAAATGTCCGCCAGTGTAAAAAAAAGAGGTTGCCATCACTCTTCCTGATTCCTCTTGGGGTAATGCGTACAGTATTACTCACATCGACTACCCCAACATATTATTTAATTCAATTGTATTTGATCGCAACCTTCATTATTCTTTATGGCAAAACATCTTTGTGTTTTGCGCCCTAGGCAACTACTACCTTTTAGGGGTATCGAGAATTTCGTGAAGCCACTTATAACAGTGAAAAACCTAATTTCAAGTTTCAAATAATTTAAAACAATATTTCCTCATTTCAATTCAGAATAAAAAAAATTAATAAATAGATATGCACTCTCCTACAATGTTCCCAACTCAATTCAATTAAAATACCCCAAACCTCTTTAGGTCATACTATACTCGTAGCTGAGTGCAATATTGATACAAATTTTCAAATAATTTAGCTTTAGCATGGGAAAGTTTAATTAAGTTCGGGGCATAACCCGTACAAAAGTGCTTGGCTTAGGCAAGCTACAATTTTAAAAAGCCATATATGTAGAAGAAAGATGGTTGGGTAAATGGTACTACCGTTACTCGATAGTAAATTTATTACGCGAAGGCAAAAATAACTTGCGCCGAAGTAAATTTAATTTAAAATGCCAATGGTTGAAATTGATTTTTTTTTTCTCGGAAAAAATTAACTTTTAGCGATATTAATGTTGAAAATAGTTTGTTTATTACATTGTTTATAAAATAGCAATTATGTTATTAGGTTTTGAAATAATTTCCATACAATAAGACGTTATTTAATTATTTATTAATTTTTTGAATTAATTAATAAAAAGCAAAGGAGAATCAACATATCATAAATCATCAATCCATTCATCAGATGGAATGGGATCGAGGATCTTTCACCGTCCAGGTAAATAAAAATGCCTAAGTTTATAATCCGGAACCCAGAAAAACTTCATGTACGCCATTAATAAATTACCGCAAGTAACCTAAGCCTGACCGTTGAACATCCATCTCCTAAAAAATACTATATTTTGTATTTCCCATCTCCATCACTAAGCGGTACTTAGTGGGTTTGTCTACAAGAGGCGGTACCGTACGTCTATTCCCCACCTTATTACTTAAGATTAATTGTAATTATATTGTTTCTCCATAAATTTCTGTTAGTCCTAACTACTAATAACCATTATTTCATTTGAATTAACAGTATGGTTCTTGAGAAAATAAGTAAATAATAATTTGACCAGTCAAAAGGTTTAACACATTCTTCTGTCATTAAATTGTGTCGTTTGTCTTCTTTGGAAATTGGATATTAATATTTATCACTTTGGCTACTTTACTACTTACTAATATGTTTTTGCGTGATTCATCTGTCGCTTTAGTGCAAATAATATGCTTACACCAAGATCCGAATTTTTGCAACTAATGAAATAATTTGTACGGGTAGGGCTGTGCTGTAATTATTAAAATATTAATCCAATATTTAATTTGGTAGGTAAGAAAGTTTGATCACATGCAAAATATTTCATAAATTCGATCAACAGCCGAAAAATTAACACAGCCCATGCTGGGTCAATTTGAACCAAGATTTGAACGTACTCATAGTCCGCAGCGCATCTCCCCAATCATCATTTTCAGTGTATTAGAAATTTAATTGTTAGATACCTATAATACCCAATCAATTTTCGGCATTATTCAAAATTAGGAAAGTAGACAAGACATGATAGATGTCTTGAATAATATTGTTTAATGATATACGTACTACCAAATTATACAATATATTGCAAATTTTAGTCTGATAAGCACATATCGCAAATCTTATTGGACAACAATTTATATCCGGTTGAGCATGATACCTGATAGTTGAGCATTTGTTTATACAGGGTGGGGCACGAAAAACTTCCCACCCAGGTTTTCTCAGGTGTTAGGTGAATAATTAAAAATCGCTCGAACACGTCAATTTTTGTTTTTTGGGGAACACATTTTATTGGTATTTTCACCCCTACCTGTCAACCCCTAAGTGGGGGTGACAGGTACCCCCAAAATTTCAAATGAAAAAGGGGGTCGAGCGATACGTCATTTGATAGCTATTTTTATAAAGATTATATCCCCAAAGTTTTAAGTTGCTAGTGTTTACCTTGTCGAAATGGCAGCTTGTCAAATTTGTGTGGTTTTTACATCATATTAACAAAACAACAGATTTTTCAAGTGATTAAACATGAACCATTTTAAACTGAACTGTTGCATGACAAACATTTAAATTAAATACCAATGTTATTTTATAACTATGGATAAGTACCATTAAAAAATCTGTTTTGTTATTATGTGATAAAAACCACACAGTTCAGATACTAGGAAAAAAGCATTTTTCCTAAATTTGACAAGTCGCCATTTCGGCAGAGTAAATAGTAGCAACTTAAAACTTTAGGGATATATTCTAAATAAAAATAGCTACCAAATGACATATCACTCGACCCCTCTTTCTATTTAAAATGTACTTGTCATCCCCACTTAGGGGTTGACAGGTGAGGGGTGTAAATACCGAGAAAATGTTTTCCCCAAAAAACAAAAATTGACGTGTCTGAGCGATTTTTAATTAAACACCTAACACCTGAGAAACCCTGGGTGGGAAGTTTTTCGTGCCCCACCCTGTATAATCGGTATTTATATGCGATTGCGATCTAGAGGAAAACATATACAAATGAAAAGTTACGTACCTATATGGAAAAGTATCTAGGTACCGACTTAATAAAATATTTTTGAGAAAGAAATCAGAGGGATATCGGCCAAAACAGTCTATATTACGTTAACTATCAGTATGTCGTCAAGCTTTCGAAGTATTTTTACTCGTCAGGACCCTTCAATATTATTAAGATAATGGTAATTTCAACAAATATAAAAGATTTACATACTTAAATTGATTGAAACTTAAAGACTCACATAGATAGATGGAAATGTTATATTTGTATAAATTACCATAATCTTAATAATATTGAAGGGTCCTGAAGATGAAGTAAAAATACTTCGAAAGCTTGACGACATACTGATAGTTAACGTAATATAGGCTGTTTTGGCCGACATCCCTGTAATTTCTTTCTCAAAAATAAATTACTACATATACAATTTATATTTTTCCACCATATCGACTTTATACCTGAAAATTTTAAGTTCAATTCTTCTCCCAAAACCAAACCAAAAAATAAAACATTTAAAAAAAAAAATGTTTCTATGACCTATCAGTCAAGGTCCAAGTCAATCTCAAACGCTTACTATGTACATTACTTCCACGATATCAAAAACTGAATGGAACTTAACTATGGAAGTATGTATTATTACAGCAAAAAAGGGTTAAAAGTATTTATCACTCCAAACTACGCAAGATGACCTAAAAATGAGCAAAAAAGTCGGTATATGCATGTTTTCCCGCGATAACTTTCCGACAGGTCGAGATGGCAAGTTCGAATTAAGACTAATTATTATAGACTTAAGAAGAGAGCTTAGTATTGATCAAAATCCCTCAAGGAAATTTACTTAAAACTGCAAAAGTAGCTAGGTGATTCCTTAATTTAGAGACCTTTTTATTTATTTTTTTACAGCGATCAAGTTTAAAGTCGCTGTCACACTGGCAAACAAAATCCAGGCTTATGAAAATTTTGGAAAAACAATTGCAGCGTAACTTTGATTGCCTAAATTGTGTTTTTTTCTAACCATATACAGATGTCAGATGATCGAGTTTTAGTTTTTCAAGTCTAAGTTTAACAACGGCATGCTCAACTCTTCTTTGAAAAATGGGAAGTTGTGAAATTTCCTTAAAAAGTACTGATTGCTTCTTATTAAAAAAATATTGCAACAGAACTATAATATCTTAGAAAATGTCTTGTGGTTATATAGAACTTAGAACTATATAGATAATTATAAAAAAATTACCGTGTAAACATTTTGGCTGCCTCAATGATTTGATTTCAAACAAAAAAAAAACTAGCCTTAGATCACAGAACACTTTGTTTGCCTAACAATATTCATTTTTTCGAATGTTTTCAACATTCAAATCTTTCAAAAATGACTTCGCGCGCGACTTTGCGCGGGAGGTTCCACGTGAGTTTTGGTATGGTGCGCGTCCGAGTCTGGGTACCGATAGTTCAAGAGGTTCTCGTCAACTGATTGCCCTTCCTTATGTTATAAGAATAGGTGCTGCGGCGACCCCTTCTTTCTAACTTTAATTCACTAAAGTTCATAGCACAACTTCCAAATTCATTGGTTTAGGTTAGTAATGTTCTTATTCTTTGGACCATTCATATTGCTTCTTGAGTAAATATAAGCAGGAACCTTTGCTAAATGCAACAATATTTCCCAACAATGCTTTAACAGTTTTAATAGAGGCATAAATTTCATTTTTTCATTTTGGTTTTTTTTTCAATAGCTATGCATTTGAGCAACTCTTGAAACTGATTTTTTTTTAATAATCAGAATCAGGTATTTAGGTACCTACTTTTTTTTTCCAGGATTTTTATTGCCCTAATGAAGATCAACAATAATTTGTGTCAAGCCGTGAACCAAGCTTTTAGTTAATAAAGCTGTTGTTTCAGTGAAAAGGTGAAGCGAAAATTGGAAATGCACCTGTACCTAGGCATGTCATCTCATGTACTAAGTTCAATAATGAAATGAAATATAAGCAGGTACCTACCTACATTTCTAAAAAAAAACAATTCTGATTGAAACCAATGATTATTGGAGCTTCAACAGAGATTTTACGCGAGAATGCCCGAGGCTTTAAGTTTCCTCATTCTCTTTATTAAGTCTACTAGTCATTGCATGCACATGCTCAGAATATGACCTTGTAATAACAGGTTTGTTCTAACCCGTCAGAAAACCGTCCTAGAACGGTTTCGGAATCACTCTGTATACGAATTTCAGTTTCTAAGCAAAAATTTTAGGTTTTGTACAAAATCCTGACGGTAATATTACGGTTTCCTGCTGGGTTGGAACAAAGCCAACGAATACAGCTTTTCGACCAAAGAATAAATTCAAGACTTCCTGGCGACACCCTAGGTCAAAAAATTGGCATCTAATCGATTATGTAATACGGTACTTGCATCAATTTTTTTATCACTGATTTCGTTAGTCGATAAAAAATAGGTCAACACGTGTTTTTTCTTTTTCCTCTTAGTCAAAAATTGACGGAGATACAACGCTATGAAATGTGCCTATGACGTCGCATATGCTCAGTATATCTATATACCGGGTGTCCACGAGATCACTTTGCGGCTGCCATTTTTTTATTTGTCTATCGATATCAACGAAACTTGGTAGGATTGATATTCTAACCAAAAGCCATTTTTATGCATTTATGACAGGTTTTCCTGACTTCCGGTTTCACCGGAAATGACCGCAACTTCTGATTTTTAAATGGCACACCCTGTATATTTTTCGTTTTCCGGATTTCGGAATCTACAGATCGTTTTACATCCTAATACACCACTTTTGAATCGATTTTTGTCCAAATTTTGTTTTTGAATTAAATTTTAATTTTTCAACTATAGAGTGCCATGATCATCCTAAAATGACTCTAGATACTTTACTTAATTTCAGAAAAATACAAACTCAATTTTATCTTATCAGCTGACGAAATGGTAAAGGTAGCATTACTGTTAAATATCTTCGGATATCTACAATACGTTCGATAAGGCAAAAACTAGCAAGTTAAAAGATGTTTTAGCTTGCTTCGATGATTTTTTTTTACCAAAAAGAAATGTGAGAATGGAGACGTTTAAGTTCAATAATATTCAGCAAAAAGATGGCCAGAATATTGATTGGTACTTAACGGAATTGAAAAAGCAAGCAGCTAACTGCTCGTTTATTTGTGAAAAAGATCAATGCAGAACTAGTTATGCTGAAAGAATGATTAAAGACAGAATAGAATGGTACTAGGTGACGGTGTTCTTAACAAACAGGTTCAAAGACATTTGTTGAGGGAACCAACAATGTCTTTAGACAAAATGCTGGAATATTGTAGGAGTATTGAGGTAACAATGAAACATGTTGAACTATTAAATAATGGAACAGCGGAAAGACAAGAAGTCGATGCACTCAAGTTTTCTCGCAGATGTGGAAGATGTGATTTTAATCATCAACCTAGACAATGCCCCGCTTTTAATCAAACTTGCGGAATTTGCCAACGCAAAGGTCATTTTGCAAAGGTTTGTTTTTCAAGGACAAGCCACAAGGAGCAGAAAGCAGGAAACAAGAAGACTACCAGAAAAAAGGACAAAAAGAGACTGAGGTTAAGAAACAAACGTCAGAAGTTCAGGTCTTGGACAATGTGAATATTCAAAATTCCGATACAATAGTAAGTAATGAAATTATAGGTACTGAAAGTTCTATTTTTATTTGTGAACAGAAACAAAATATTCAAAATAGTAGTTGGTATGAACCTATCGCAATTAATGATATTGACATACATTTCAAGCTTGATACAGGAGCTGAATCTAGCGTTTTACCTTTAAAACATTTCAGTGATTTAAATACTGATAAATCTAAAATTATTCCAACAACCATGACAATTATTTCTTATGGCAATTTCAAATATAATCCGTTAGGTTACATCACACTCAAATGCATGTATAAAAATCAATTTTTTATTGTTGATTTAGATTCAGAGCCTTTACTTGGGTTAGGTGATTGTTTACATTTTAATATGATATCACGTATAAATTTAGTTCAAACTAAGATGCTAAATGATTCTAAACCGTTACCGAAATCTAGAGAAGAAATATATAAAAATTTCAAAGATATTTTCGGGTCTTGGGTGTATGCCTGGAGTGCTAGACATTAAATTGAAAGATGTTGCAATACCAGTGATCCAAACACAGAGGAAAGTCCCATTGGCTTTACATGACAGATTAAAATCAGCATTACATGAACTCAGAAAAAAAAGTATAATTTCCAAAGTTGACTATCCAACTGACTGGGTGAACTCATTGATGATTGTCGAAAAGCCTAATGGTTCACTTCGTTTATGTTTGGATCCTAAACCACTAAACAAATATATATGTCGAGAACATTATATTATTCCTAAATATGACGATATTTTAGCTAAGTTAGCAGGAAAAACAATTTTTTCAGTAATAGACATGAAGGATGGATTTTGGCAGATACAATTATCAGAAAAAAGTTCAGATTTATGTACATTTTACACCCCATTTGGAAGATACAAATTTCATAGAGTTCCGTTTGGCTTAAGTAGTATACCGGAAATTTTTCAAAGAAAAAACATGGGAATTTTTTGTGATATTCCAAATGTGAATATATATTTTGATGATTTAATTATTTCCGAATTTGATGGTAATGAACACGATTTGGCATTTAAAAAAGTACTTGAAAAAGCCCTTAAATTTAACATAAAATTTAATTTTGATAAATTGCAATATAAAATGAAAGAAGTCATTTTTTTAGGTCAAATCATTTCAAAAAATGGAATAAAACCGTCTCAAAAAAATATTCAAGCAGTTTTATCCATCGAAAACTCTTCAAACAAAAAAGATTTACTACGAATACTTGGTCTTTTCAATTTTTTTTCTAAATTTATCCCGAATCTTTCACAAACATATAACATGCGAAAGCTTACTAGAAATGATATTAATTTTGAATGGTTAGAGTTTTATCAACAAGAACTTGACACATTAAAGACTTTAATCACAAACAAACCGATATTGAAAATATTTGATCAAAATAAACCATGTGTCTGGTAAAGGATTAGGATCCTGTATGATGCAAGATAAGCATCCAATAGCTTTTGCGTCAAGATCTCTTAATAGTGCCGAGGTAAAATATGCTCAAATTGAAAAGCAACTTCTGAGTATTGTTTTTCATGTGAGAAATTTCATTATTGGATATATGGTCGAGAAGTTTTGGTTAAAACTGACCGTAAGCCATTAATTTCAATTTTTAAGAAAAATCTTGATGATGTTAGTGCTAGACTACAAAGAATGTTATTGAAATTGTTAAAATATAATATCAAAATTGAATATTTACCTGGGTCTAAGATGTATGTGACAGATGCATTGAGTAGGTCTTACAATAAAACTGAAATTCCTTTGGATGAAGAGTTGGAATATATTATTCATTCACTTTCTTTGACTGTACCAATGTGAACAGAAAAGAAAATTGTTTTTCAAAATGCAGTTAACAATGATTTGATTTTACCACAAGTTAAAAACTTTTGTTTAAATGAATGGCCAAAAAATGATAAAAAGTTGACTTCAGAATTTAAATACTACTATAATTTGAGAAACAATATTTATCTCTCTGACAATTTGCTGTTCTACAATCAAAAAATCGTGATGGTTCCTTTTGAACTCAGAAATAATATGCTCAAGTTAATACATTCAGCTCACTTTGGGATACAAAAAAGTAAATTACGAGCACGTGAAATAATGATATGGCCCAAAATGTCAAAAGAAATTGAAACCTTTGTGAGCAATTGTGAAATTTATCGCTTAATAAGCCAGCTAACCAAAAAGAGACTCTTTTAGCCCATAAACTACCAGAAAGACCATGGCAAATATATTCTTTTTTGAATATCAATCTAAAAGCTACTTATTAATTGCTGATAGTTTTTCCCATTGGCTAGAAGTTTTTCCTACACAGAATAAGACAGCTACAACTGTGATTGAGCATTTTAGGGATTTGTTCTCTAAATTTGGTGTCCCTGACATTTTTTATTCTGATAATGTTCCTTATAACAGTATAGAATTCAAGAATTTTGCTAAATCTTGGAACTTTGATTTGCAATTTTCTAGTCCTCATTATCACCAGTCTAATGGCTTTGCAGAGAAATATGTCGATATTTCTAAAAAACATGCTCAAGAAAATGAAACATTTGGATGATTCAACGTTTTATTAGAATATCGAAATTCTCCTTTGCCCAGTATAGGATTTGCTCCCGCACAATTGCTTTTAAACCGCCTGGTGAAGACAAAACTTCCTATAACTTCAGACAGGGACGGCTTAAGACTTCTTGAGGCCCTGGGCCTATATGTAAAAGGAGGCCCCTTACCTACGGGGGGAGAGAGGGGCGGTGCTCAAGGGAATACGAAATTAATAAATAAGAAAAACTTCTGAAATGTAATGTATATTGTGGATGTTTCCTGGTCTTTCTGAAATTAATATACAGGGTGTTTCACGAACATCGAGAAAG